TTTTTGCTAGAGAGCCCAGATTTCAGAGTAACGTTGTATGCAGATTTCTAAATTCTGTATTTGCAGCAGTGACACATTGATTATCTTTTTTTCAGCTGTAGTCCTGAGCACCCAGTCTCAGAAAATGTTTCTTAGCACTAGTACACATTGCAAAATGCTGAGTCTTTATTGGAAAAAGAACAAGCAGAAATTCATCAGGAAGTAAGTGGACGCTGTGCTAAGAGGAATGTCATCATAACAGAGAAAAATAGGAATAGACAACTGACACTGCAGATTAATTCATAACATCATAGAATCAATCACTGAGACGTGAAAAGTACCTCAGGGCAGACATCAACACCAGTAGATTAACACTTCTCTTAGCTGTTGATGATTTTCTTTCATAAAATAGCATGAGGGTTAGCACTAAAAAAAGCTTACCTTACTCAGTGTCTCAGCTCTTATATATACAGATTCCACTTTTGTTTTATAAACATGTGTGTATGACTTTATTTAAATTCTGTATTCTAATATATTTTCCATTTCCTTTTATATTAATATATGGTTTATTAAAGATTTCTAGGAAATGTGTTCATTTTTGGTACCTTATTTTCTTCTGATACACCTGTGTTTCTGCTGGAAAAATAAACAACAAATTTCCAGTCCAGCACAGTTTCATACCTCAGCAAATAATGTGCAATTAAATCATCTGGACAAATGAAATGAGCTCATACTCCTCATCAAAAAGGTGGCTGAACCTCTCCTTAACTTACAGGTCATTTATCATTTGTCTTTTTATTTTCAGGATTTTTACAAGTGCAGAATTTTCCCCTTTCTGCTTCACAAAAATTGTATAACTGTATTGGATATTCTCAAGATCACATACACTTGGAGAACTAATATAAGGAGAGCAACTACAGACACTAATTATTTTCCTTTTAAAAATTGGCTTTTCCCCCTTTTCTCTCTTCTTGTAGGCAGGAGAAAATGTTGAGGATTTCAAAAACTAAAATCACAACCTCATTTTATGACTCTCTTCTTTTAAAAAAAAAAGTGTAGGAACCAGGAATTAGAAATCAAAACAGAAATCAAAACACTCCTCTGATATTTAAAGATCTGAAGATTTTGTGTGTGACAGAGACAGTTCTCAGTGAAATACAAATTTCAGTGTCTTAAATTTTTTCAGTCCAACTTCTTTTTGCTTTATTTACTCAAGAATTTTAACCAACCTCGTGCCTTATTGTATTGATTTTTGTGATTTTCTACAAGGGCTCTCGCCTTTTTTGTTTCCATAGTCCACCATTTCTGTAATGATGATATTTAACTAAGAATGTTTTTTCACTCCAGTCTTCTGGTTTTATGAAATCACCATATCAAAGAGAGAAAGAAAGAAGTTAAAATATTTTTCAGTAAGGTTTAAAGAACAAACAGATTTCCTGGTATTGCTTGGATACTTTGAGGAGCAAGTAATGAAAAATCAAGGAAAGCATTGGGGATTTTAAAGAAGACTGGCATGTCTTGATTAAGACTGCTGCTGTCATAAATGCATGTTGTATAGGTTTTGTGTTTATTTTTTCCTTATATGATCTTTTTACTTGTTTAAAAATTGTAAGAGCAATTGGAACAGATACCTTTTTAAGGCATATCTACTTGTTATAATCAGTCAGTTACAAAAATATCTGAGATAACTCTCTGGATGAGGACTAACCACAATTACATAACACTCTATTCAGTCTCATTTCTTTTGTTTGTACTGTATCGACAACAAATTGTATCGTGCTGGTCAAATTTGTCCTTATTGCTTGTGCAGTGCACAGCATGAATGGGGCTTGATATATGTCCTGGTTTCAGCAGGGATAGAGTTAATTTTCTTCCTAGTAGCTGGTACAGTGCTGTGTTTTGGATTTAGGAGGAGAACAATGTTGATAACACATCCATGTTTTTAGTTGTTGCTAAGTAGTGCTTACATTAGTCAAGGACTTTTCAGCTTCCCATGCTCTACCGACTGAGGAGGCTGGAGGTGCACAAGAAGCTGGGAGGGGGCACAGCCGGGACAGCTGACCCAAACTGGCCAAAGGGTTATTCCATACCATGTGACATCATGCTCAGTATATAAACTGGGGTAAAGCCAGCCGGGGGTGGCCACTGCTTGGGGACTGGCTGGGTATCAGTCAGCGGGTGGTGAGCAATTGCATTGTTCATCACTTGCTTTGTATATTATTATTATTATTATTATTATATTTTGATTATTAAACTGTTCTTAATCCACAAATTTCTCACTTTTACTCTTCTGATTCTCTCCCTCATCCTACTGGGGGGGTGCAGAGTGAGCAAGCAGCTGTGTGGTGCTCAGTTGCCAGCTGAGGTTAAACCACAACAACATAATGGAATTCTGTTGAGACATCCTATTTCTTAAATTATTAATACGTACTGCTGAGACAATGAAGGGAGTGAAGAAGGAAGACAGAATTTGTTTGGTTTTATTTGGATATGAAAAAGATATTCTTCTCATCACCTGTATTTGTTTATTGTGATTTTGAAAACTTTAAGGAAATCCCAACTGTCTTGAAATAACTCCTGGTTGTAGTATATCCACTTTAGGCAGGACTGAAATGGCTAATGCTTCATTCATCATTATTGTGCAGTCCTTCAAACCTGAACTACTCAGTTCTGTAATTTCAGTATTTACTTTTGAGTGATATCTCAATGTTATCATCAGTACAGATGGTTTGCATAACAATATTGCTGCTACTGTTCTCACAATTTCTGTTTTGACTTGTTTTCCTTTGTTTCTGGTATTTTGTTCTTCAATTATTTCTTTGAAGTATTATTTCAACAGTTCTTGTGCAATATGTGAAACCCTCACCGACTTGACATCTGTGTCTGTAGTATTCATTTAGTGCATTTATACAGTCCAGAAAAGTAACCGTCTGGAACTACATTTCTCTTGCCATTGTGCATACTTTGGGAAATGATGCAATAGTGATTTTAGTAGCAGTTTATAAACATTATTCTAAGTTTGCTAAAGTGGACCCAAACCTTATACACTGAATATGAAAGAGACAGCATTTGACCATATATTTCTCCCTAGTATATACAACCTTGAGTGCTATAAGGCTTAAGTGCTATATGACGCCCATCTACAAGAAGGGCCGGAAGGAGGATCCGGGGAACTACAGGCCTGTTAGCCTGACCTCGGTGCCGGGGAAGATCATGGAGCGGCTCATCTTGAGGGCGCTCACAAGGCATGTGCGGGACAACCAAGGCATCAGGCCCAGCCAGCACGGATTCATGAGAGGCAGGTCCTGCTTGACCAACCTGATCTCCTTCTATGACCAGGTGACCCGCCTAGTGGACAAGGGAAAGGCTGTGGATGTGGTCTACCTGGACTTCAGTAAGGCCTTTGACACCGTCTCCCACAGCATTCTCCTGGAGAAGCTGGCGGCTCACGGCTTAGACAGGTGGACTCTGCGCTGGGTCAAAAACTGGCTGGACGGCCGGGCCCAGAGAGTTGTGGTAAATGGAGTTCAATCCAGTTGGCGGCCGGTCACGAGCGGTGTTCCCCAGGGCTCAGTATTGGGGCCAGTTCTGTTTAATATCTTTATCAATGATCTGGATGAGGGGATCGAGTGCACCCTCAGTAAGTTTGCAGACGACACCAAGTTGGGCGGCAGTGTTGATCTGCTCGAGGGTAGGAAGGCTCTGCAGAGGGACCTGGACAGGCTGGATCGATGGGCCAAGGCCAACTGCATGAGATTCAACAAGGCCAAGTGCCGGGTCCTGCACTTCGGCCACAACAACCCCATGCAGCGCTACAGGCTTGGGGAAGAGTGGCTGGAAAGCTGCCTGGCGGAAAAGGACCTGGGGGTACTGGTCGACAGCCGGCTGAACATGAGCCGACAGTGTGCCCAGGCGGCCAAGAAGGCCAACGGCATCCTGGCCTGTATCAGAAATAGTGTGGCCAGCAGGAGCAGGGAAGTGATAGTGCCCCTGTACTCAGCACTGGTGCGGCCGCACCTCGAATACTGTGTTCAGTTTTGGGCCCCTCACTACAAGAAGGATGTTGAGATGTTGGAACGTGTCCAGAGAAGGGCAACGAGGCTGGTGAGGGGTCTGGAGAACAAGCCTTATGAGGAGCGGCTGAGGGAGCTGGGGTTGTTTAGCCTGGAGAAAAGGAGGCTGAGGGGAGACCTCATTGCTCTCTACAACTACCTGAAAGGAGGTTGTAGCGAGGTGGGTGTCGGTCTCTTCTCCCAAGTAACTGGCGAAAGGACGAGAGGAAATGGCCTCAAGTTGCGCCAGGGGAGGTTTAGATTGGATGTAAGGAAAAATTTCTTTACTGAAAGAGTAGTTAAACATTGGAACAGGCTGCCCAGGGAAGTGGTTGAGTCACCATCCCTGGAAGTATTTAAAGGACGGGTAGATGAGGTGCTTAGGGACATGGTTTAGTGGGCATGGTGTTGTTGGGTTGATGGTTGGACTCGATGATCTTGGAGGTCTCTTCCAACCTTAATGATTCTATGATTCTATGATTCTATGATTCTAAGGATGTCAATGATTTTCACTTTTTAACTGGTTTTCTTATTAACCCCATGCAAATGCAATGAGACCATTCCACAAATTACAGCAACATTGTGTGAGCATTTCAAATACTCCAAACTCTGTCTTCCCTTTCCACATTTTTCCCACCTTTTCCTGCATTCAGTATACAACTATTGTCTCCATTGCAGCCACTTTACAAGAGTAGCAATCTGAAAGACTGTCGTGGATTCTGTGAATTTTCCTGTGACTTCATGGGATCAGTTTCATCCATGCTTCTATTCAAACTCTGGCTACATCTGAAATTTTAAAGGCTTTGATTTTGTTTGAAGAGATGTGAACACTGCTTTCTTTTAAATTCATATCTATCCTTTCCACCAAAAAAATAATGATGGCACATCTATCTTATGCATTTAATTAACAGTGGCAGGTCTGAAGTTTCTTCCTGCCTGTTATAAAATAACAATGCAGAAAAGCCACCCAGCTGTCCATTAGGACAACATTTTTCTTAATATATTCAAGGTCCAGAACTATTATTTCGGAAACCCACTGGTCATCGTAACCAAAGGTACTGTCCAAACTACTCCAAGATGGCTTTACATGTCACAGGATAAATGACCTATAAAATCTTGGTCGTGAAATCTGAAGTAAACTCTGGTTTTATTTCCATAAAGCTAATCTTTTGAATGGCACACTGAAGCATTTTGAGATATTACATTAAAATACTGTAATTATATTCTAACATTGAGTGTTAAAACTAAGAAAAAACCCAAAACCCCACACTTTCATAAAGATTCCATAGAAGCTAATGTGCTAAATTAATTGCTTGTAATTTCATGGCATAACACATAGGAGTGAAGATTAAAAATAATGGATTTTTGTTTTGATTGCTCATTGTAAATTCTTTTGCTTTAATGTCTTACTTGTGAGTTCAAATTATTTTATTTTTCTGTAATTTTATTCATTTAACTGCCTCACCATGCAGGTCACCTACAGAAGAAATTGAAGACTTCTACTTCTTTTAAATAAACGATCAGGTAAAAATAGTCCTTTACTTTATCTCACTGAGTAACCCTGGAATTTTCCAGGGTATTTATATGTACTAATTTCATACATATAAATCTTCACTTCAGTAGATTCTCCCTGAATTAGGAAAATATGGGAGAAATCTTAATTGTTAAAAATCTGAAAGGAGAAAATGTTTCTCACTCAGGAAAGAAAAAATGTAAACAGTGTTTACCTTAATAAAATTAGGCATTTTACTAAATTATAAACAAATGCAGGCAGTTCTTCAGATCTGCCATATTCATGTTGCATTTTACTTTCTCTATTTTTAATAGCAGCCTTTCAAGACTGAGTAGACTATTACATGTTTTAACATAGCCTCCAAGCCCACTGTTGGCTCAGCCAGTCCCTCTTGAAATCCCATGATCATGTTCCCAAAATATTTGTCCTGATAGAGGGCAAATGTTCCAAAAAGCAGCTCGATGAAGTACTGTGCAGTTTTTATGACAGTGCAGATTTTTCCAGCTCTACGTGTTCAGCCTGGTTAACTGGTGCAGGAGAAAAGCAAAATAATTCAGTTTTCTTCTGTTTTATTTTATTCCATCCTATTCTACTGTAGAGGCAGTTCCACACAAAGGAGTTATTGTCAGACAAAGAATAACTTCATTCCTGCCTGGTTTTGTTAGTGTTTGTTTTTCATCTCAAAGCCAAGCTCTTCAGAATATGCATGAAATTCTGTTGCTCTGCAAGTCAGTGAGAAAGGTCCCACTGACTTTACTGAAGTTACAATTTCACTGGAGGATTCAGGCTAGCACTTACCAGAAGACCTATAGCAGACTATGTCACTAAACGCCCCCTTTGCTTGTGTTAGTACCCCAGAAAATCAGTCTGGCCACCACAGGTGGAGCAAGAAAGGTGTGTATAGTCTTTTCAGTAGTAGTACAACAGGAACAGCACAGCTGTCTCTTTGGCGCTCACCCCTTTTACTTCCTACATTTTTCTTTTCTGTAGCAGAAGAAACTGACCTCTGCTGCAGTCTCTCATCTTTCCAGTGAAAAACCCCTATATTTGGCCTAAACGAACATTCAGGGACACAGACCTTTCTGGAGAGTAATCAAAACAAACCAGCACAACCAAAAAACAAAAAATACCTGTTTCATTGCAGAACTTTGGTGGAGTTCAATCTGATTTTTTTTTCACCAAGGTGGGTGAAGGCAAGCTGTTCTATCACTATCAGGCTTTTCCATGTACGTTTTGTGGACCGTAATGTCTTGCTGAAGTGTATTTGCAATTTGTTATCAAAACTAGACTTCAGCTCTCCTCCCATTTATTTCTTTGGATTTAAAAATATTTTAAAATAAAACAGTGTCATTTTATGTTTGTACAATGCCTATGCATCAGGCATTGTAAATACTAGTCCTGCTGTCAGTAAAAGAAAGTTTTCCTACTTTACAGATGTGTTTATTTTTTCCACAATTAGAACAACACTGAACAGAAATTGTACTGAGAAGAGCTTGTTTCAGTCACAGGACTCGTTTGCCATGGCCTGTATTTTAAATGGCTCCTTAACCTCTAAAAATGACTGAGTTGAACCCCACACATAAGCACATTTAAACGTTGTAACTACTCATTAGTGGGAGGAATAGAAAGAGAAAAAAAATCCAGAGAAAGCCTCAGTGAAGATTGATTTTGTATGCACTTGTTCACATGTATCTCAGAGTTACAATGCCACTGCTAAGAATAATTACTAAGGAGGAAAGAAAAGGACAGACAGCTGAGCTGAACTCTGTGAAGTTCAAATGTGCAAACCCTCTCAACTCCAGAAGTGAAGTGACATTCTCTGACTTGGGTGGGAATTTGCATAATGTGGGACAGCTTGTTTCTTATCTTCGCATAGTTGTGCTTGCTCTGGAATGATCAATTTTCAAGAAACATTTCAAAATATATGCAAAAAAGGGCTGCTCTTGAACGTCTGTAATCCCCTATCCATTTAGAATGCACAGCAGGGGACTGTTAAACCTCTGACTCGCCTATAACACTGCTTACATGCCAATGATCGACTTCTTAAATAGCTACCACAGACAAATAATTAAACATAAGTTTAGAAGAAACAAAAATCATTGGAGAAATCACCTCAATGTTTGAGGGTAAACCGTGTTTTGATACAAGGTCATACTGTGCAATTATGTGTTGCCAATGTCATTTTTGTTGGAAGAACTTCTATTTCAGAAAGCACAGGTGTGCATCAGGCAAAGCTATTTTAACAGTGTCTGTTGGGTTTTTTTCTAGTACAACATATTGCTTTTTATATTTCCATGTGGATTCTGCAAAGAACCAAGAAGATTAAGCTGAAGATATGATCAGTATCTGTAGGTATTTCAGAAACCTGAAAGAGTCCTATTACTTAGAATCATAGAATCATAGAATCATAGAATCATTAAGGTTGGAAGAGACCTCCAAGATCATCGAGTCCAACTGTCAACCCAACACCACCATGCCCACTAAACCATGTCCCTAAGTGCCTCACCTACACGTCTTTTAAATACCTCCAGGGATGGGGACTCAACCATTTCCCTGGGCAGCCTCTTCCAATGTTTCACCACTCTTTCAGTAAAGACATTTTTCCTCACATCCAATCTAAACCTCCCCTGGCGCAACTTGAGGCCATTTCCTCCCGTCCTATCGCTAGTGACTTATATCCTTTGTCTCACATTCTATGATAGCACTGTACATTGTGGGTTTGAAGAATGCCTGCTAGTGATGAAATTGTTTTTGTTGACATCAAAGATGAGTAGAATTTTACTGAATCCCTGAAAGATATTTGGAAGTTAATAGAGCTGCAAAATAACATTAAGAAAATCTTGGTTTGGTTTTTGTGGTTTTTTTTTTTTTCCCTTTTCTTTTTCTCCTACCCCCCTTTCAAATGAAAAACTGCATATTCAAAGGTCTAATTTTCCAAAAGGTGAGTAATCCAATTTCACTCATTCTCTGTAAGTACCACATTAAGAAAGACTTAATCTTGGGTCAAGGAGGCTCTTAGGCATTAAGACACCTTCCAATATTCTGTCTACGATGTCTAAGTCATTGTAGGCTTAAGGCTTTGATATTTCTCTAACGCAATTTCCTAGTTGTAAACTTGGGATAATTATTTACTTCTTTCAGTACAGCAGCATTATGAGAACAAATGCATAAGAAAGGAAAGTTATTCTCATGCTTCAGTAATGATAAGAATATAGCGCTGGCACAGGTGAGTCCGAGCCATGAATAATTTTACTGGAGGTAAGCTAAAGGATTCGAAGTTATGTACCAAGTATCACAAAATGTCTGTATAATGATGCTTGAAAAAATACCCTCATGAAGATTCACTTATTTATACTATGATTCAAAAAACTATAAAATAACATGCAACCATTTAACATCCACTTGAATTACTGTACACTGTGACTAATGTACGTGGCACTGGTGAGGTTGCACCTCGAATACTGTGTTCAGTTTTGGGCCCCTCACTACAAGAAGGACGTTGAGGTGTTAGAGCATGTCCAGAGAAGGGCAACGAAGCTGGTGAGGGGTCTGGAGAACAAGTCTTATGAGGAGTGGCTGAGGGAACTGGGGTTGTTTAGCCTGGAGAAAAGGAGGCTGAGGGGAGACCTCATCGCTCTCTACAACTCCCTGAAAGGAGGTTGTAGCGAGGTGGGCGTCGGTTTCTTCTCCCAAGTCAGTAGTGATAGGATGAGAGGAAATGGCCTCAAGTTGTGCCAGGGGAGGGTTAGATTGGACATGAGGAAAAATCTCATTACTGAAAGAGTGGTTAAACATTGGAACAGGCTGCCCAGGGAAGTGGTTGAGTCACCATCCCTGGAGGTATTTAAAAGACGAGTAGATGAGGCGCTTAGTGACATGGTTTA